TCCCGTAGGTGTTGTTCAAAAGCTTTTGTAATGTCTTCAATTGCTTTTTTGACTCGATTATGTTGGATGCTCAAGTTTCCCTCAAGGACTGCACACACCTCGTTTTTTTGTTCAACCTGAAAAAAAAGAAAGATCATTATTTAAAGCAGTAAAACATCACATAATGGTTCTTTACTCATTTTTGAGGCAGTCTTGAGAAACCCAGGCTTTTAACAGGAATTTCATGCATAAGTTCAGTCAGATAGGTCTGTCATCATTTGTCTGCCTCTGTCTATTCGTTATGTCACTTCCATTTTTCCCACACTATTGAACTCATTACTCTAGTCTGATCATTTTTTGCCTTCTGCAAATCAATCATCCTCTGTTCTCCGTGCTTTTATATGATTTTTTGTCATTCTGCCTTTCAGACTCTCATTCATGCAACTTGCCACCTCCCCAACTTCACCTCAACCTTCCTGCGGTCACTCAGAGCACCATCCAAACTACCATCTTCACTACCCCAAGAATCTAGACTCTGGGAGCCTGTTCTAACTCCCATCATTTCTGTGCTCTCATTGGTTCACTGGAGTCTCATTGGTAAATAACTATTTAATCAAATTCTGTATCTCAATAATTTTCAGTTCTTCCAAATAATCTCTCCCCTTTCGATCACTAATAATAAATTACCACATATAGATTTATGATGTCCAGTATCCCACATTTTCAGTGAAGGTCAGCATGTCTTACAATATATGTTAGTAAACTTTAGTGAACATTTTATGAACATTTTTATTTTATGCATTTTCTTATAACCTTTAAGGAGATTATGAATGAGGCTTTATTGCCTGATCTTACCACTTCTCTGCTTTTGGCTCCTTGAATCAAAGACAGAATCCCATGAGCTCCAGACACATAGTTTGAGGTCTCTGAATGAGCGTCATTTAGATTTTTCAAAATTTCCTTGAGTTTCAGTATTTCTGTTAGAAATTGAAAAAGAAATATAAATCTGAGCAATACATTTTCTGTTACACAAAAAATACCATCACTGGTAGTGACTTCACCTACCATTGACATCTGGATTTACATTCTCCCCTTTGAGGAACTCTTTGGTGCTCACTGTGAAGACTTGGAAACTATCCTCACTGAAGTGATTCTGAGAACATTTTTGTTAGTCAGTTTTTATTTTTGGACCGTTTAAGAAAATAATTGTTTTAGA